CCCACTAGGGGCAGACGCCGCGCCAACCGACTCGAGACCAAGCAGGTCGGCAGCAGCAGCAGAGGCAACAGAGGGCAGGAGGGGGGAAGGAGAGCACCCCTCAAAGATGGGGGTGCGAGGGTCATCACGAGAAGCTCCTACAGCGACGATGCTCTTTTCTGCCGCGAGGAGGGCCTTCTCGAGGATGTCGACGGTGAGGGTGGTGGGACAGACCGCGAGAAAGTGGTCCCTGACTACGCGAAGAGAGTCAGGGAGGCGCGCGACTACGTAGTAGAGAGTGATGTACATGGGGGGGGGGGTTCTTGGCGCAGAACTCAGCAGGAAGGGCGGCGCGGTAGCGAGTGTCACTAGTGCGGAGGTGCGTAATGAGGTCAGCGACAGTGGGAAAGGCAGAGAGGTCAGGAAAGAGGTAGGGAAGCATGAGACGGCTCAGTGCAGCAGTGGCAGGGGAGGAGTAGCGCGCGACTACAGCGTCGTACAAGGTCTGAGCACTCTTGTACTGACTAAAGTGCGCGCGCTCAGAGGTAGGGAGGTGGCGACGCACAGCAAGACGTGCAGCAGCATCGCGGGTGGCCCACTGAGAGCGCACAGTGGGATCAGCATCAGCAGCAGGGGCAGGAGAGGCACCAGAAGTGAGGTCAAAGAGAGAAAGGCCGTCTGCTCTGTCGCACTGTAAGAACAGCTGCAGGTCGTCGACCCAGACCTCAAAGTCAATGGCGCGACCCTCAGCGTCAAAAGCTAGGACACTAGGGGTAGCCATGACAGCAGTAGAAGGTCTCACCAGACAGGACGGGTCGGGCAGCGCAGTAGCACAGCAGTACAGCAACACAGCAGCTCAACCGGCTCAGCAGCAACAGCAGCTCCGCAGGACCAGCGGCTCGGCTCCTCAGGCGGTGCAGGCGGCTCGGGCGGCTCGGGCGGCTCGGGCGGCGAGGGCGGCTCGGGCTGCTCGGGCGGCGCGGGCGGCTCGGGCGGCTCGGGCTGTCAGCGACACAGGGCGGCCCGGGGCTGGGACGGGCAGCGCGCGGGCGATCAGGGGCCGGGACGGGCGGCGCGCGGGCGTCGAGAGGCCGGGACGGGCGGCCAGCGGACGGCTGGGGGCCGGGGCGGCGGCGCACGGGCGTAGAGGGGCCGGGACGGGCGGCCAGCGGGCAGCTAGGGGCCGGGACGGCGGCGCGCTGGCGTCGAGGGGCCGGGACGGGCGGCCAGCGGGCGGCTAGGGGCCGGGACGGGCGGCCAGCGGGCGGCTAGGGGCCGGGACGGGCGGCCAGCAGGCGGCTAGGGGCCGGGACGGGCAGCGCGCGGGCGTCAAGGGGCCGGGACAGGCGGCCAGCGGGCGGCTAGGGGCCGGGACGGGCGGCGCGCGGGCGATCAGGGGCCGGGACGGGCGGCGCGCGGGCGTCGAGAGGCCGGGACGGGCGGTCAGCGGGCGGCTAGGGGCCGGGACGGCGGCGCGCGGGCGTCGAGGGGCCGGGACGGGCGGCCAGCGGGCGGCTAGGGGCCGGGACAGGCGGCGCGCGGGCGGCTAAGGGCCGGGACGGGCGGCGCGTGGGCGGCTAGGGGCCTGAACGGGCGCGCGCGGGCGGCTAAGGGCCTGAACGGGCGGCGCGTGGGCGGCTAGGGGCCGGGACGGGCGGCGCTTGGGCGGCTAGGGGCCACAGGGCAGGCCGAAAAAAAAGGTGAAAGCGAGGGCCCGGAGCGCGCTCCGGGCAGAAAAAAAAGTTTAAAAGTGGTGGGCCCTAAGCACAGTTCCCACGGGGGAACCTGCTCGATACCATGATGAGAATAGAACGAGAATGAATGAACTATGAATGAAGTGAGTACAAATAGGAAACCCTAACTAGTTGTACCCCCTATGGGATACCCCACTACAGCCTAGACAATAGTATAAGCTATATATATGTTCTGACAGGTCGATCAGTTCGTCGACGCGGCGAATGGGGTACCGCGACTTGACTGTTACCCTGTTGAGCGCTCGGTAATCGATGCACATGCGAAACCCTCCGTCTCTTTTTGGCGTGAACAGTATCGGTGCGGCGAACGGTGACGAGCTCGGTCGGATGAATTTCTTCTCTAACAAATAATTTAGCTGCTTCCTCAGTTCGTCGAGCTCGGGTTGTGTCAGTCTGAACTGGCGCTGTACAGTTGGTTGTGCCCCCGGTTCTAATTCTATTCGGTGGTCATGTGCTCGTTGAGGTGGCAGCCCTTCTGGTAAGTCGTCGGGAAAAATCCCGGGGTATCGTTTCAACAGTTCCTGTAGTTCGGGCGGTACCGCTGCCAGCAGTTTCTTGAAATCACTCGGCTGCTCTGCTCCCTCTACTACTGCAATGTCTACTGCGTACACGTCAGCTTCAGCAGCGACAGCCCGTTTCATGGTGACGGCGTTGACGTGTACCGTTGACGACTCGGACGTCTGCCAGCGAGGTAGCTCGACCCAGTTACCGCTACTTCGCACAGTGCAGCTACCCGTCGTCCAGTCAATTCGCAGGTTATACCGTCGCAGCCAATCACGTCCCAGTAAAATGTCGTGCCCATCTAGTGTCGTTGCGAGCATTTCCTGTGTAAGCTCGAAATTCCCCCCGCAGCGGACTTTGACTCTCTCCACTTTTTCCCGTATGGCTAGTGGCGTGCCGTCGACTAAGCGTGCGTCTATCTCGGGTAAACAACGGCTAAGTGTCAGTTGTAGTTTTCGTGCGGTTGCAGTAGTAACTGAACTGTGACTTGCTCCTCCGTCAATAAAAATCTTCACTGGTGCTCCCTGTATTTTCCCGTGGATCAGTACTGGGCAATCCGTCGCTGTACCCTCCTTATTCGTCCGAGTCCGATCGATAGCATGAATCGGTACTGTGACTCGATTAGGGTCGGTGGGGTTGGGCGAGCAGGCAGTCTCGTCAGTAGTTGGCACGATTCCTATTGACTGCTGGCGTTTCCCTGCCTTGGAGACTCCCTCCCCTGCTCTGCTCCGCGGCGCCTTAGCTCCTCTGGGCATTCATTCTTGCGATGGCCCGGCCTATTGCAAGCAAAGCAGCGCCCCTTAAACGGCACGGCAGTTGCATTCGTCGTGACGGCATGTACGGTGGCGTGCTCGATCAGTCCCCGAGGACGATGTCCGTAGTAGGACCCCGGTCTCGGACGGCGTAAAATGTCGATTTTCTCAGCGAGCGCGAGAATCTCGTTGAAGTTCGAGAGCCCACGTAGCATAATCTCGTGCGAGATGTCCGGCTTCAGCCCTCCAACATAACGGTCCACCCGCTCTGCTTCATGCATGTAGCCGACTTGCTCGCATAATGCGAGAAAACCACTTGTGTAGTCTTGAACCGAACCGAGTTGCCACCAAGTACGCAGTCTCACAGAATGAACTCCAGGTGACAGCTGGACTTCTCGGCCCTTCCTCTTGCGACGGTGGCTGGTAGGCGCGTGGCGACGTCACGATGACTCGCCACCAGTCCATGGCGGGGCCCCTCAGCAGCGAAACGGCATACCAAATCTTCGCTGCGTCCGACTCGACGTAATTCACGTCGAAGAAGGCGTTCATCGTGAAGACCCACGATTGAACCGTCGGACCTCCACGTTGGCTCGGGTCGAAGCAGGGTGGCCGTTGCGGCTTGAGTGGCATTGGTGCCATAATGGCCAGTTTGCCACCTTTCGCCGCGAAATTCCACGTGCCGATGGGCTTCGCGAGGCTCCCGCGGGCTTGGTGCGACCCTGTTTCCTCCCATGCCAGGCATTGGCTGGGCGGCGCCATCACTGGCTGCGCCTGAGTGCTGTTCCACGCTGTCGTGTTGTGTTGGTGTGCCGGACGAGATGACGATCGGCTCGTCCGATTGTGCAGATCCATTTGTCGGTGCGTGTGATGGCGCTGGAGCGTTCACCGTTACTTGCTGACGCGTGGAGTCACGTTCCGCTGTGAGCGTCGCAATTTCGAGCGCCGAATCTTCAAGTTGGCGCACCAGACGATCGAGCTGCTCCTGCGTCAATGTTGCGAGCGTGAATTCGGCCATGGCGGGGGTGTCGGGCAAGCTCAACGAGAGCCTCTGGCGTGGCCGTGCGTGCTTATGGGAGCGCACTACGAGCGGCAGTGCTATGTCGCTGAGAGACATCTACCCCCCCCCAAAAATTGAGTTAGTGAGGAAGCGAAGGTGTGGGTGCGGTCCGAGAAGAGATCGTAGGCTTTGAATACCAAGTGTTACGCGTGCAATTGAGTGAGCGAGCAAGAATTGCACTATTGAAGCAAGAGTACAATGAGCGAAGGCGTGAGCGAAGAATATATAGCGAAACTACAGTGGTAACGGTATTGGACTGTGGTTGTCGCGCGACGGGCTTGGGACTGAGGTTTGGGAAAGTGTCGAAGCGGAGGCCCGGAGCGCGGGTTACCTGCCGAGCCGTGAGATCGGGGTGCGACGTGCGAAGGTGGCGGGAGGATTGTCGATGCGAGAGTTGCGAGTGGTAACGGTGCTGACTGTGGTGCTACAGTGGTGTACGCGCTGAGCGGGGACGCGAAATAAGGATAAGGAATTTTCCTTACACCTACTTTCATCTGAACCAATCTACTTACATCAAGCACACTGTTTTCAACTTCTGAATCCACTGATTTGAAAACTTATGCCTTTACGCCCCATTTAAAAATTTCAGGATGCACCTGTCTTAAATATGAGACAACGAAAAAATGATGAACAAATATGGAACAAAAAAATGTTACAAGCCGGCAAGCAGTTCAGCCTGGCGCTAAAATGGAAAAAGATAAGAGGAGCCTCATGGCTTAGCTTGAACCCCTGGAGGGTTTGCACAGCCAAAGCCGAGAGCAGTCAGGCTAAAGTACACTTCACATCTTCATGAAGCATGAATCGCTGCATGGAGTGGCTCCTTCGATGAGATGAATCTTGGCAGTGTTTTCGCGGTGCATGCTTTTGAGGCGCCTCAGAAACAGTACTCTTCACATCTTCATGGGGCATGAGTTGCATGGATATCCTCCTTCAATGAGATGAATCTTGTCAGTGTTGTCAAGGTGCATCCAACGGCTGACAGCTTTGTTCATTGGATGGATAGGAAAGGAAAAAATGACATTTTTTGAACAGACATCTATACATACATACATTTCAACGCATGCTCTCACATGCAAGCACAAGAAGAAATCACGGCTGCATGTAATGCAAATCGTAAGAGAAACGACAAATGAGATGCTTGCAACCATATTAACCAACAGTGAAAAAGACAAGAGGTAAATGTGTTTCAAAGAATCATGGACCACCGTTGATATCTGTGTTGCATGGGGAATGAAAGAGGGAAAGAATACGCACCACCCCATTTGCAGTGCGCAGGGTCTAAGTCATATCGGAGTGGATGGAGCCATGCTGGACGCAGGAGAAGAGGAAGACGGCATTGGCAGGTGTGGAGAGCGGTGCAGATGGCGATGAGAGCGATGCGGCTGACTGTGCGCTGGTCTGGAGGAGTGGAGCCACTGCCGTAGCCAACTTTTTGCGGTAATCTGAAACCCAGGAGTGAGGCACCATGGGGCAAGAGGCAAGGTGAGGAAAGGTAAGACAAGGTAAGGCGTCATCGGTAAGCAGAGGAGGGTAGAAGAAGATAAGGCCATGGAAGCGCAGTCGGATGTTCACACTCGCTCCCTCCCATCTTGCTGACTCCCTCATCACTTGCGCACACACTCACTCACTCACTCACTAACTAGCTAACTCACTCACACATAAATTGTTCTAATGACACACGCCCTAAATGACTCACGTCTCAGCAACAGAAACATGCAATAGGCCCCAGGTACTTATCTGGTGTGCAAGAAACAACTGCAGCGACTTTCCAGTCGACTCAAAACTCACTCTCAACAACTTCTTTCTCGGCGGGAGTGCACTCTGTGAGATTGTTGAAGCAATTCGGATGGTGACGGTATCCCGTATCCAGCACCTGGGGGGCTCCTATGGCCATCAACTGCAGGCCACAAAGCATACAGTGTTGCAGGTGCAAGCAAAAGATAGAAAAAGGCTTGTGATGTGAAAAAAAAAAAATCCACGACATGGAGAGGTATTGTGAGACGGTGCGCGAAGCAACAATGTTTCAACAGGACGGGAGGACGGAAGAAAATGATCAAGATAAAAATCAAAACAAGCAACAATAACAATAACGTAGTATGAAACGTTCGCATGAGAAGCATTGTTGTCAACTCCACGTCGTAAGTACTGTTGGTGAAAATCGAGGCACGGAGAAACAAAGAATGGCTTCTGAGTCGACTCAAAAGTCGTCCGGTTACATTGTCACACGGCATTCCAATCCAACTCACCACCACTTTGTCGTAGTTGCTGTTAATCAGGAAGAGCGGTGTGGAGACGAACTGGAGCAGCTGTCTGGGCATGAAACACTGCCGGGCCACCGGGGGTGAAGTGAAGAGGGAGAGAGTGGGAAGGCTTTAGAGGCGGCTCAAGTTCAACAAACGACTTGCGACAGCTGCTTAGGCATCAAACAGTGTCGGGCGTGAAGCAGGAGAATGAAGGAGGGTGGTTTCCGGTGAACAGCTGTGCAGAGGTGACGAGTGAAGTCAAGCTAGGTCAAGGATCCAGCAACGATGAGCAAGATGGGCAATGGCTAGGGGGGATGAACGAGATGGTACGGATTTCAGCCTTGGCATTCGGCAAGTGATAATTGTGATGTTTTGGGACGTCTCTTTTATCACGTGGACAAAAAAGTGACAAAGCATCGCTTTTTATCATGTGGAGCTGGTATGGATCTTGGCACGCAAACACATTTCACCTACTCTGGTGTCATAAACAAGTAAATTGCTGCCACGTATTGAACCATGGCCTCCAAATGGGGCTCAATTGGACTTCACGTGGAGATGGTATGGATCTCTTGGCACGTGCCATTGACGAAGTGTTTTGAGGCGTCTCAAAACACTTCTTCAATCACGTGACTATTTATCACGTGGAGATGGTATGGATCTCTTGGCACGTGCCATTGACGTTCAGCCTTGGCTTTCGGCAAATGGTGACTTGCAGCGAAGGCTGGGAAAGGTGACGTGGCATGTTAGAAGATGACATGTGGCATGCTGTAAGTGGTGACGTGGCATGTTAGAAGAGGTGACGTGGCATGCTGTAAGAGGTGACGTGGCATGGTTGAAGAGGAGCAACAGCAGCGCAACGCACCTCGTGGTGCCTCTCTGGCTCTCGCTCAGCAATGCATGCTGCCGGGAGGCTGTCAGTCAGATTCTGATGGCAGAAGGAAGATGCGGAAAGAAATCCGAGAGAAAAGGAAGGAGAGAAAAAGGGATGACTCTGAGAATAGCTTCCCTGAGGAGCGCAATGCAGGTAAGGCGGAAATAGAGACAAGAGGGTGGGTAGTGAGAGGGGCACGATCCCCTGGCAGATTCTTCCTTCATATATGCCATGCAAGTGAAGTGAACAGAGCTGGATGGGCAGCTTCTGCATGTGAGAGTGGCGATTGAACAAACGTGATCGGGTAGAGGCGAGGAGAGGCGAGGAGAGGCGGGGAGAGGCGAGGAGGGGTGGGGAGAGGCGAGGAGAGGCGAGGAGAGGCAGGGAGAGGCGGGGAGAGTCCGAGATGGCATAAGGGTGCATGTAGCGCTCACATGCATGTCCTTGACTTCAATAAAGAAGCTCTCCACCTTGTTGGTGTTGTTGATGTCCGCACTGCATGCACGACAGGGATGGGGTACGGGAAAGAAATAGGGAGGAAGGATTCGTCCCCACTTGAATAAAGAGACTCTCCACCTTGTTGGTGCTGCTGGTGTTGCACTATACGCAGAGAAGTCAGAGGGATGCGGGCGAAGGGGTTGAAAGATAGAGAGATAGGGGAGCGACCACCAGAGATGCGGGGAGAGGGAGAGGAGTGAAGGGAAGACATTTCACATGGTTAAAAGGAATGGAGAGGAGTGAATAGAAGTGACGACGAGTGAAGAGGAGTGTCAAGGAGTGACGAGGAGTGAAGAGGGGTGAAGAAGGGTGAAGAGGAGTCTTACACGTTGAGGAACATGGAGGAATCAGCGAGGCAGCGCACTCCCACGGAGGGAGAGAGGGCTTTAAGAGTGTCTTTAATCCCATCGCAGTGTACCAGCAGAGCCACCGCTCCCGCTGAACACCCTGACACAAGCACCTGGGCAGGTGAAAACAACAGAGACGTTTAAAAAATCATTCCGACATGAGCACCTGGGCAGGTGAATGCAAGAGAAAGAAGCAAAGACGCGTGGAGCGTCCACGCAAAGCAAGCCACTCACCCTGCGCCACTCCCCAACACTGCACACTCCTTACTCACCTTCCTCCTCCCCATCCTCTCGCTCACCTCACCCACTTGCTCACTCTCCCCGCTCTCTTCCCCCGCTCTCTCCCCCACTCTCTCCCCCACTCTCTCCCCCCTCTTCCCCCCTCTCACCGTGTCTGCGTGGTCGAGCCCCATCTTATTCAGCAGACGCTTCAGTAGCACGTCCGCGATTCTCCTTCCCCTCATGTACAGAGTCGTGGCCTGGGGGGAAGAGTTGCAATGGAGAGAGGGGAAAGCTGGTTAAAGAGCATGCTAAGAACAAAAAACTTCTCCTTCCCCCATTGCCCTTGGGGGACGAGACGAAATGGAGAGGAGGGAAAGATGGTTAAAGAGCATTGATGAACAGACAAAGAGAGTGGAAACACAAAGCTTATCTTTCCCTCATGTACAGCGTTGTGCCGTGGGGAGGGGAGATGAAATGGAGAGAGGGGAAAAGCTGGTTAAAGAGCATTCATATACAAACAAAGCTTATCTCTCACTCAGGTGAGGGGAGAGAGGGGAGAGGGCAGCTTATCCTTTCCCTCATGTACGGCATCACGCCGCGGGGTGGGGAGATGAAACGGAGAGAGGGGAATATTAACAGGGAGAAGCAACACAGTGGCGAAAAGACAGAGCGGCAGTGAGGCGGAGAGAAGGAGAGGCGGAGAGAAGGAGAGAAGGAGAGGAGGAGAGAAGGAGAGGAGAGAAGGAGAGAAGGAGAGAAGGAGAGAAGGAGAGGCAGAGAGAAGGAGAGAATGGGAGAAGGAGAGGAGGAGAGGCAGAGAGGCAGACAGGTGGACAGGCGGAGAGGCTGTGGGGTGGGGAGGGGGAGGAGAAGCATACATGCACAGAGGCGGAGAGGCGGAGAGGTGGAGAGGCAGAGAGGCGGAGAGGGGGAGAGGCGGAGAGAAGGAGAGAAGGAGAGGCGGAGAGGCGGAGAGGCAGAGAGAAGGAGAGAAGGAGAGGCAGAGAGGCAGAGAGGCAGAGATGCAGAGAGGCAGAGAGGTGGACAGGCGGAGAGGCAGCTCACGTTGAAGTGAACGGGCGCGTCTACGTCGCCTGAGAAGGAGCCGCCATCGCAGTAGATGAAGTAGATGGCGTTCCAGTTGTAAAAGTCTGGTGGGCAGCATGGGGAGGCACGGGGAGGAATGGGAGGCATGGAGAGGCATGGAGAGGCATTGGGAGGAGCGGGGAGGCATGAGGAGGCGTGGGGAGGAAAGGGTAGGAGTGGGGAGGTGTGGGGAGGCATGGGAGGATGCAGCGCACATGGCAAAGGCCTCACCCGGGTTCACCATTCAGGAAGTTTCCCCCAGGGTCACCGTGCAGGAAGCTTCCCGCGGGTTGACCGTGCAGGCAGCCTCACCGGGGTTGACCGTGCAGGCAGCCTCACCGGGGTTGACGGAGCGGTTGGCGCTGAGCATGCCGTTCATGCTGCCGTTCTTGTTGTCGCTCCGAGCGGCCTCCATCTCCGCCGCGGACGGCCACAGGTCCGTCGAGCCCAGGCGCGAGCCCGCTCGCCGCGCGCAGCTCTCGGGGGACGCGCACCATGCGGCGCCTTGGCGCATCATAGGGGGAAGGGGAGGTCGAGGGGGAAGGGAAGCAGAGGGGCATGGGGAGGTCGAGGGGGAAGGGAAGCAGAGGGGCATGGGGAGGTCGAGGGGGAAGGGAAGCAGAGGGGGATGGGGAGGGGAAGGGAGCGAGTGGAGGGGAGATGGGAAGCGGTTCACACACACGAGGGAGCAATGAGGGTAAACGAGTGAAAACGAGGCCGCCTTGAATGGAGAGAACGGGCTACAAAAGAATGGAGCAAATGGGGTACTAGCAAAAAGGGAAGGCGAGTCATTCGTCTTAGTCACACCTCGAAATACAGGACCCAGTTATTGCGTTCTGAGCCGTATTCCTTTCGATAGTAAAACCCGAGGGACGATCCGTCCAAGCACACCGCGCCCTCCGCGCGCCCTTCTTCCGCAATGATCAGCTGCAGTGCCGGAATCTGTGCCTCCGCCTCCGCCGCATTGCCACTGGCGGAAGAAGGCGCAGAATCCTTCACCACAAGCGTTTCCCCCTCCGCGGAAGCATGGGGGGTATCCTTCACGAGCTCCGCCAGCGCGGCATTGTTCCCGCTTCCGCCCGCGACCAGCTTGCGGGAGCCCGCCGCCGCATTCCCCCCGGATCCGCTGCGCACCCCGCCAGCCGTCGCGGCGAGGAGCAGGACAACGAGAACCGCCGCAGGCGGCGCTAGCCGGGAGCCGCGGAGAGCTGACGTCATGTCAGGCAAACTCGTTAGTCGGCGGAAGAGGAGGCGGGAGGAGAGGCGGAACTTCTCTCTAGGTTCACATTACTAGTACGCGCCGGCAGCGGGGCGCGAAAAGGTGGCCCTTGTACTAGTAGACGGCGCTAGCTGAAGGAAAAGGAAGAAAACCCCAGCAGACAGCAGCAGCAGCAGCAGCAGCAGACAGCAGCAGAGTAGACTCACTAGCAGCAGCAGCACTGCTGCTGGTTTTCAGCAGCAGGAGCCGTTCCGGAAGGTGCACGAGGCCGGTCCTCGCAGGCGGGCCATGACACAGCAACAACAAGCTGACGCTCCGCTCGCACTGCGCTCTCGTAGAACTGCTCCGACCACCGCCGCCGCATGCAGCGTTCGCGGATAGTGTAGTATCGCGATTGGCGCGATCCCCCCAGTCGGGCGCGGCAGGAGGCGGGCCCATCATCACCGGTGATCGGGGCAGGAGGGGCCTCTCTATCAATGAGGGCCCCCTCACCAGTGATCGGGGGCAGGAACAGGCCGTCAAAGTGCCGGCAGTCGCTCAGGAATAGGCTGGCCCGTGCAGCGGAGTACTGTGCACTTCCAGGGTTCCCGGATTCCCGGAATCGCGCCACATGGCAGAACGGACGATGTCCAATGGATTACGGGCGCCATTAATCGGCGTCAGGAGTCGCACGCCTGACATTCATGGACGAGAGCAATCTCCCCCCCCCCCCCCAATCCCCCTCTTCCCCCTCCCCCCACCAACCCCTTCTCTCCCCCCCCCCCCACAGCCAAGTATTTTACCCTGAAATACAGTACATTACTGTTTTCCTCCCCCGGTTTCCTCCTTCCAGGTCGTCCTATCGTTGCCGATTCCTGTGCCCTCATCTCTACCTCCAAGTAGGGTTGAGACGTGATTCGATGCGATGTGCATCGAATGCTGCCTGCCAGCCATCATCTGCGACGCCAGACGCCAGATCACAAGACGGCTGTCTTCGGGGTTCATCTGCGAATCTCATTGGCTTTGGTTCCTGCCTGGGAAGAGTGGCTGAAAATGAAATGAGAGCTCTGGTTTCCGCAGCATATGGCGGTGGAGAATTCTGTCGTCACGCGTCCTACCTCTATTCACTCGCTACGGAAGCTAGCGCAACTCTCTCAGGTTCTATTACATGGTGGGTGGTCTTCGCTACAGCGGAACTTATGCCCTGATAAGCCGGCGCACTGCACACCAAGGGAGAGTACATCCCAGCTCCTTAGTTTCAGATTTATCTCATTTTTAGTCCCAGGTTCACTCAAAAAGTACGACTTTCTAGAAGTTTGTTCACGTGAGGCCCAGATTATGTTCAAAACTGGTTCTGCGGGGCGAAATTTTCGACACGTGTTCATTTTCGTATTGAAGAAATTTTGACGGGTGCAAAACACATAAAACCCCTCGGGAACCAGGACACATTTGCGGGACGGATCTGTCAGAACATATCTATAGCTTATACTGCTGTGTAGGCTGTAGTGGGGTATCCCATAGGGGGTACAACCCAGTTAGGGTTTCATATTTGTACTGCTTTCATTCATAGTTCATTCATTCCTGTTTTCCTATTTTCACATGGTATAGAGCGGGTCCTACCTTAGGACCGTTGTCTGGGCCCACCGACGCGCGCCCCGAGGCGCGCCCTTTTTTTAGCGACCCCTCGGGTCGCCTTTTCACTCGCGGCCCCGCCGCCTCCTCTGACGCGGCTTTGCCGCCTCCCCTGACGCGGCCCAGCCGCCTCCCTTGACGCGACCCCGCCGCCTCTTTTAACGCGGCCCCGCCGCCTCCCTTGACGCGGCCCCGCCGCCTCCCTTGACGCGGCCTCGCCGCCTCCCCTGACGCGGCCCCGCCGCCTCCCCTGACGCGGCCTCGCCGCCTCCCCTGACGCGGCCCCGCCGCCTCCCCTGACGCGGCCCCGCCGCCTCCCCTGACGCGGCTCCGCCGCCTCCCCTGACGAGGCCCCGCCGCCTCCCCTGACGCGACTCCGCCGCCTCCCCTGACGCGGCCCCGCCGCCTCCATTAACGCGGCCCCGCCGCCTCCCCTGACGCGGCCACGCCGCCTCCTCTGACGCGGCCCCGCCTCTGCTGCCGACGGCCCCGCCGCTGCACTCTACGGCCCGCCGCTGCACCCTGCCGGCCCGTCGCTGCTCCTGCCGGCCCGCCGCTGCACCCTGCCGGCCCGCCGCTGCTCCTGCCGGCCCGCCGCTGCACCTACCGGCCCGCCGCTGCACCCATCGGCCCGCCGCCTCTTACGGCCCGCCACTTGCACCTGCCGGCCCGCCGCTGCACCTGCCGGCCCGACGCTGCACCTGCCGGCCCGACGCTGCATCTCCCGGCCGAGCCGCCCCAGCAGCCGAGCCGCCCGGGACCCGAGCCGCCCTGCCGCCGAGCCGCCCGGGAGCCGAGCCGCCCTGCACCCGAGCCGCCCAGCCGCCGAGCCGCCCGGGAGCCGAGCCGCCCTGCACCCGAGCTGCCCAGCCGCCGAGCCGCCCGGGAGCCGAGCCGCCCTGCGCCCGAGCCGCCCAGCCGCCGAGCCGCCCGGGAGCCGAGCAGCTGTGCACCCGAGCCGCCCGGTCGCTGAGCCGCCTTTCTGCTGACTGCACGACCTGCCCTGCCTGGTGAGCACTGTCCCACTGACACTGCGAGCTCTTTCCCTACTGCTTGCACTGCGTCGCTGTCGTCACCATGGCTACCCCTAGTGTCCTAGCTTTTGACGCTGAGGGTCGCGCCATTGATTTTGAGGTCTGGTTAGACGACCTGCAGCTGTTCTTACAGTGCGACAGGGCTGACGACCTTTCTCTCTTTGACCTCACCTCTGGCGCCTCTCCTGCCCCTGCTGCTGATGCTGATCCCGCTGTCCGCTCTAAGTGGGCCACCCGCGATGCTGCTGCACGTCTTGCTGTGCGTCGCCACCTCCCTACCTCTGAGCGTGCGCACTTTAGTCAGTACAAGAGTGCTCAGACCTTGTACGACGCTGTAGTTGCGCGCTACTCCTCCCCTGCCACTGCTGCACTGAGCCGTCTCATGCTTCCCTACCTCTTTCCTGACCTCTCTGCCTTTCCCACTGTCGCTGACCTCATTACGCACCTCCGCACTAGTGACACTCGCTACCGCGCCGCCCTTCCTGCTGAGTTCTGCGCTAAGAACCCCCCCCCCATGTACATCGCTCTCTACTACGTAGTCGCACGCCTCCCTGACTCCCTTCGCGTCGTCAGGGACCACTTTCTCGCAGTCTGTCCCACCACTCTCACCGTCGACCTCCTCGAGAAGGCCCTCCTTGCAGCGGAGAAGAGCATAGTCGCTGTAGGTGCTTCTCGTGGTGACCCTCGCACCCCCATCTTTGAGGGGTGCTCTCCTTCCCCCTTGCTGCCCTCTGTTGCCTCTGCTGCTGCTGCCGACCTGCTTGGTCTTGAGTCGGTCGGCGCGGCGTCTGCCCCTAGTGGGAGACGTTGCTCCAGCAAGGGCAAGGGGGGCAAGGGCGCGGGTGGAGCTGGAGGGGGCGGTGGCGGTGGCGGCGGTGGCGGCGGAGGGAGTGGGGGTGGCGGCGGGGCTAGTGGCGGGGGTGGTGGTGGTGGTGGCGGCAGCAGCGGCGGAGACGGTGGTGGTGGTGCCAGCGGTGGTGGTGGAGGCAGCGGCGGAGGTGGAGGCGGCGGAGGTGGAGGCAGTGGAGGCGGCAGCGGAGGAGGCAGTAGTGGTGGAGGAGGTGGAGCTGGTCGGGGTGGTACCCAGCAGCGTAGCGGCGGTGGTGGTGGCCAGCGCTCGCACCGGCAGCAGCAGCAGCGCTCGCGGGACATCCCTTCGCCTCAGCAGCTTCGTGAGTGGTACGCTGGGCGTCAGAGGGGTGGGGGTACTGGTCCCTGCACCTACGTTCTTCGTTCCGGCGACCGCGCGGGTGAGCAGTGTGGGGGTGCCCACGCCACCCAGCGCTGCTTTGGCCGCCTGACGGACGCTTGGCGTCAGCAGTTCCCTGGGGCTAGTGAGATCCCTCGCTGGGATGAGCTTCTCAGGGCTGGTGTAGCGATCTTTGATCTTGATTTTGATGCTATCCTTACTGCTATGTATGTTGTGGATTATAGTGAGGAGAATGAGGGTTACCGGTGTTTTCAGCCCGACCCGGGCATTGGTACTGCTGCGCTAGGTGCTTGTGAGGCTGCTGCTCTAGGTGCCAGTGCGTCTGCGCTCTCAGGTACTGGTGAGACTGCGCTCTCAGGTACTGAGTCGTCCTCGTCCTCCCTCACTTTCACACTTGACTCCGGAGCTTCTCGCTCCTTCTTTCGAGACCGCACTACCCTTTCGCCGCTCGCCAGGCCGGTTGCGGTCTCCCTTGCTGACCCCTCTGGGGGTCCTGTCCTGTCTCACTTCTCCACCTGTCTTCAAGGCACGGTACGTTGCTCGTGGCTTCAGTCAGCGGCAGGGAGTTGACTACTTTCAGACCTTCTCTCCCACCCCGAAGATGACTACTCTTCGGGTGCTGCTGCACATAGCCGCTCAGCGCGACTACGAGCTTCACTCTCTCGACTTCAGCACTGCGTTCTTGCAGGGTAGCCTGCACGAGGAGATCTGGCTTCGCCGTCCACCTGGCTTCACTGGGACTTTCCCTCCTGGCACCCAGTGGAGCCTCCGACGGCCAGTCTACGGTCTCCGCCAGGCACCGCGTGAGTGGCACGACACACTGAGGACTACGCTTGCGGCTCTTGGGTTTGCTCCTTCTACTGCTGACCCGTCGCTGTTTCTTCGCACCGACACTTCCCTGCCGCCGTTCTACATCCTCGTGTACGTCGACGACCTGGTCTTTGCCACAGCGGACACTGCTGGACTCGCCTACGTGAAGTCCGAGCTGTTGAAGAGACACACGTGCACAGACCTGGGTGAACTGCGCAGCTACCTTGGCTTGCAGATCACTCGGGACAGAGCACGCCGCACCATTACCTTGACTCAGTCACACATGGTGCAGCAGGTCCTTCAGCGCTTCGGCTTCACGTACTCCTCGCCTCAG